TAGAGAAAATCAGCTAACGTTTCTCTAAAGTATGTGCATTAAATGAAATTGATCACATTTTCATGTTTCATACCCATGTATCTGGGTAGCATTGATAATTCCAGAGAAGCAACACTGATTTTATACTATTACTCTCATTTCATACTGAAAATGCAGTAGAACTTGCATGCTACATATGTACTTTGGATTCCTTAGTTGTTTGATCACATTGATGAAGGGATATGCAATCAATCTCCCACTAAGACAGTGAGTGGTATTGGCCATAACTCATTACTCCATCAAAGGATTTGGCATTTCAATCGATGGGAAATGATGTGTGATCATTCTAATTTATTATACATCATTTCCCATCAATCGGTGTGCTGAAGCCTTGACATAATAAGTAGTTACAGACACTGTCAATCATTCTTGGTCAAATACCTCTGAATGCCGCCATTCGGTACACCATCAGCAATTCATCCAAACAGCAAATACACATCCAAAATATTCAGCAAGCAGAATTTAACTAGAGATACCTGAAGAGAGTCACAAGAGTGCTCAGAATGATCTCAAAAGCTTCAAGAACATAAGGAACAGAAGAAAAGAGAGTTATCATGAAAGTGCACCTTTAAAAAATGCATGAAAATTGTGAAAATGTCTCTAGAGGGACAGTAAGTTCACCTGGGAAAAGACTGAAGAAGTGTAAGCTCCAATATGGCACTGGGAATCTTCACTAGGAGACACTAGTGGGATCATGGACTGTGCTGCCCACATTACTATGAGATCAAGCTAAATTCTGCTGATTTGTGTCCGCACAGTTCCTTTTGACTTCAGTGGAGTTGCATGTGTACATAAAACCAGGCCACAGCCAGTCTTCACCTTATTAATGAGATTAAAAATCTTGATTATCATCCCAAAACCTTCAACGTTCCTTCCATCTCCAAAATTCCCCTTATGGTTCCCCGTTCGTAATTCTCTTTAAGGTTTCCTGTTTACTCTGATGTGAACATTGCCAAAATGACTCCCTTTATTAATCATACTTTTGAAAGTAATGAAATGTAACTCAACACTTTTCTTCACACAGCAGTATATTCTACAAAATTGCTGCGGCACACTATCAGCAACGTCCAAAAGGCGACAGATTCCTTCCAATCCAGAAAAGTGACAACAACCACGCTCACTGTGACGTTACTTATTAAAGCAAAACAAAGGAGTTGGAGTCCCTGATCCCTGTGGGTCCCTTCAAGCTATGGATATTCTACGTTCTGTGAAAACATGGTTTCAATGAAAATTCTTCTTGTGGAATTATTTCAGGAATCCACCTGGCCTCTACACCTACTTACACCTCTTTGCTACCAGATTACTGTGACATTTAATAATTAGTGGTTATTCTTTCATAGGGATGTGATTAACTCCTCTAGTTAGAAACTGCCATCCCCCTTAAGAAATCACTACTCATTTTTGAACCAAAACTAGAACTTTCTCTTTAGAATTTGGTTGTATTTAATCCAGTCATTGAGTACAGAATACATTGCCAACACAGACAGGCAACGCAATCATGGTATCAAAGAGCCAATGAAACGTTATGAAAAAATAGCATTAAGAGAACTTTCAGAGTTCAAAATTAAGCAAAAGCTGGATGATTAACTCCTATTGAAGGCCAGCCAATGCCTTCCCTAAGATAGCAAGTGCTCCTGTAGTACATTTCAGATGTCAGTCTAGATGATCCAGCAGGTCAGGTCTAGTTCCACTGTATGTTATCCTCTCTCATCCCTAGCCATTCTTCTATGTTTTTCTGTTTCTCTCCCTATAAAAGTATTTGCACTGTTTCTCTTACACACCTCATCATTGTCACCGTCTCTCTTTCTTCAAGATATTGCCTTGTCTTACTGTGTGACAAATGTAAAAGCTATTGTATTGAGTTCCATCTAGCAATATCTCATTATTGGTAAGCTGGTTAGATATAGTTTGTATGAAACTGCTACATAAAAACAGTACAATGAATCAGCCTTCTTTCTGATCATCCATCCTTCCTATACTTTTCATTAGTTTTGTCAGCTTAAAATAATACAATACTGGACAGTTTAATGTGGCCCCAAAATTGACAGATTTATTTATTCTCTTACTATGAAATATTCTTCTTTCCCTTTCTAGTCTTATTCCTCCAGTTCTTGTGTGCTGTTCCAGTCCTCTTACCAGCCTCCACCCTGATCTTTCCTTACAATGGCAGCTCCCTGAGAAAGGCAATCCATACCCTCTACTGGACATTAAAAATGGAAAATATTATTAAAATAAGGTCAAGCCAAGTTAATACTTTTTTTAAAAAATCCACACATTTTTGCATGTATATACATATTGTGAATTGGTGGGGCTTTGTGGTGAGAACTACTTCTGAGAGAGCCTTAGATTTTGTCAAGTGAGTTTAAATGCAAGAAGCAGTCACCAGGCAAACTGCTCAGAGGGTATTTACCTGCTGACAACTCTGAACTTGCAAACAGAAGGATTCAGCTGGGAAAGATCATTTTAAGAGTTCTAGTACCTTCTTTTCCAAATAGGGAACATAAACGTTACTACATCTAATCAACATATACAGAGTGATATTTGAAATTAGAAATTCAAATACATGCAACAATCTGCTTGCCAACAATCTCCAGACCAAAAATTATTCAGATAAAGTATTTGGTGAATAATTTTGAATAGTAAATTCATCTGAGAGAATCAAAAGCAGCTCACAGACAATTCACAAATGAAAAAAAAGTTATACATGCTAAATCATTTATTATGAACTATTTTTCATCTCTGTTCTGTTAATTTGTTTTTCCACTTCAGTCAAAAGGAGGTTCAGAAAAAGGAGAAAAAGGAAAAAATAAAATAAATAAATAAATAAAACAACCATCCTTTTCTTATTTGGCATCTTCAGGTAATTCTTGAGTAATTACCTATTTATTGAGAAGTGAAGAAGTTGAATGTTGACCCAGTCAAGGAGAAAAAAGTCCATCCTAGTGAAAAGACTGTGTATAAAGTTCTAGCCTGATAAGATTTGAAATGAGACTTGAAGGCCTCCCAAACACAGGTCTCATAATTAACAGACTTTTAACTATAGCTGCATTGCCAGGTGCAAATTTAATAAAAGATTATAAATGATAGATGAACCGTATTTCCAGCAGCTGTTTGTAATCCCAAGCAAAAATCTTCATTAAGACAGCGTTAACGTTGTAAATGCTTATCTATTAATTTAAAGTACTGTGAAACATCAAACATTATTCGTTTAGAATACTGCGGTGAAATACAGACTAAGAAATCACGCTGTAAATAAAACTTTAAAACATTAAGTTTTAAGTCAGACCATCCAAAGTTGCAGTTAATAATGTCAACCTTCCTGCAATCTTCAACAGATTGCCCTGAGAATCAGCTGAGCTCCTCAGGAGCACAGCTAAGTGTTACCTGAAATCCAGCTGCAAGACCAGGGTTTTGTTATTCTGGAATTGAAGTTCACCAATTGAAGTTTTGACAGATCCAGTAGCATAAAACAAAAATGCCAGCTCCAGCACTGGCTTTGCTGGAGCTCTTGATGCTGGGCAACTTCCAGGGTTGAGTTCTAAGCACAACCAGCTCTGCTAATATGCTCCAAAATTTGGTTAAAAATACACATTTTTTATACTGATCCCCTTTGATACAATTTATAAAAGTAAACAGTATTTGCAGGGAATAAGGAGAGTATTCCTTATCGTTCCCCTTTAAAGGAGCATAGAGAAGTTTAAATACCGATCTGGAGGAAGTTCCCTTCTTGACACACTGAGAGCTTCTTACAACAGCAGCAGTGCATACTTACTGCCTTCCCATAGGAAATCTCACAAAAGCCCTTCTTACCTGAAGCCTCTACCATTTTCACAGAGCTATTGCTTCAGCAATAAAAGTATGAAACATCTCTATTGGGCTCCAAAATTTACCCTATACTGTGTGTTAACAACTATGGCATGTCAGATCACTATTTGTTGTTATGCTTTGTGGCAAGGGTTTTTACAGTATTTTAGCAAGAAAAGCAGCATATAGGAACACCTCCACCATACCCAGACCTGTTCATAAAATTAAAAACAAAGAGGGAATCTATGTATTACTTTTATTCCATTTATCTTATGCAGATCTTAAAAAGAGACAGACCCTAAAAAAAAATCCATTAAAAATTCACCGACTTTTCTTGATAAGAGCTACAAAGACTTAAGATTAACTTCCACATTTCACATTTTATTTCACATTTGGATTTTGAGTAAGCTTCTAGCATAAAAAAAATATCCTGCACCAAACTGCAAAAAACCTCTGCCTAGATAAGTTCAATTAAATAAATAGTCTGGTGGATGCTTAGTAATGATTACTTATATGTCAAAAAGATGCAAGATCAAATGTAGAAATTCCTTGACAAAGCTACTGTAAATATTGCATTTGTCTCCAAAGAGGCCTTGTTCTTCAAACCTCTTTCCCTTCCCTCCTCACTTTTTCATACTTGACAATGGATAGAACAGTTTCTAATGACCATTAGCATTTCTAAAGATGTAACAGCTGCACTATTTCAGTTTCCAACTAAAACAGAGCTCCTTACTTCTAAAGTAATCTCCCTTTTAGTTACGTTTCTTTCCCCTCCCTTCCTCCTACTCAATGTTTAAACCTCTTTTCTTTTCCCCTTGAGCAACAGGAAGTGAAATTCCATTTGATCATTTGCATGATGAATACATGGCTAACAAGAGATACAAAAGCTAGTCTGTTGAGTAAAAAGATCAATAAGCCACTATAATAATCATTTAAATCAGACAACTCTACTGTATCTATCCTTTGTCTCTCTTTGCACTGCTTACTTAATATATATTTTTTTTAAATGGTTCACAGTTAATCTGTTTCCTCTTCCTTTACATTACGTGTGCATACTTTAAAAGCATTCCTTTTACATGTATAGAAAGAAAGATGCACCATATAGAAAAAGATTTTGCAGAGCAGTTTGTGGCACAAATAAAATTGTCATTTCTTACCTGAAAAACAATCCACTGCCATCTGGGAAAAAAATGCCAATAGAGTCAATGTGGTGTGCGAGTCAATTTTTCCCTCTGGATTCAAAGCACCACCAAGTACAATATCTGCAAGGAACCAAATTTTGATGGGAATTACACCACTAAAAATTCAGTAAAATCCCAATGACTGAATTGGATTATTCCCCCACATTTTATCTATGTAAAGAGAAAACAATTTGGCCTAATCCAGACAAAAACACACTTGAGGACAGATAAAGGAGAAGGGGAAAATCAGTAGTAAGAAGGTAGGCACTGATATGCTCACATTATACTATATGATGCAGATAAAATAATTTTAATCCAAGCAGAATGTTATACCTACGTGACCTTTCAATATTCTTTATGAGCTGTGCCCTCAGATGAGGTAAATAAGCAGCCAGCAAAGTGTTCATGAAGTTTACTCCCTATTGAATTCTGTAAAACAATCATACCTTAAGAAAAAATGGAATACAAAAAATAGAAGTAAAATACAAATTATTCTTGACAGGCCTTATGTGGCCTGTACCTTTAGACACTGAAAATGTGTTCAATGTTAACAACAAGGCCTGTATGTAAAAGTAAAAAGTAAGTGTAAATCAGGGTTGCAACAATGTCTTTTTTATATATAAGGAATTATTAATTATGATGTGTTTTGTCTAATAACTGCGTCTCCATAACATGGAGACAATGCAAGTTTATACAACAGGACTTTGACACCCCGTATCAGCCCTTGGGTACTGGCACAACATCCAACAAATCTACTGCAAATAGTGGGCTCTTCCTGTTTCAATACAGCTTGTTTTCTTGACATGCTGATTTTTGTTAACATATTGATTATTCTTTTTTTTTTTCCTAAAAAAAAAAAAAAAACACCATCTATAAGTTTGTGCACATTTTTACCACATGCAGAAACTGGTATAAGCAAGCAGCAGTCATTTTGATATGACAGATTAGAATGGCACAGAAGGAGCAATTTTGGTGTTTCAAGTTAATAATAGGAAAGATTTACCCTCTATGATACATTATGTTAAAAACGCACTTTATAGCCATGTTTAAATAAGGTTCTTATTTAGATCAGAGAGATTAACAACTCTGAAAAAGTCATTCCAAACTATGAGACACCCATTTGCAAAATACAAGTATGCATTTGTAATACATCATAAGATTGGTTAAGGCATCAGAGTATATTGCTTCACCTTCCATACAATTTTTCACTTATGAACAAAATGCATGCATTTTAGGTCAAACATAATCAGTTAAGGGGACAACCAAGCTTAGAAATAAAACTACCATAGTAAAATATTCAGCCCATTCCACTTATAACTCAAGTCTTTCAAAAGCAAGGAAATTTAGTTAAGACTTTACAGTATCCTTAGCCCCATGTTCCCATGTTTTTCCCTAGATGCAACAGTTAAAAGAAAACATTAGTCTGCACACTGATCTTTGCTTTGCTTTTACAATGCCTTTCTCTTCACTTTTATACAGCCTTTATGTTATTTCACCTTCAGAAAAGGGGAACTGCATTTTGTAAATAACTTTGAAAAGTGCTGCCCGCTGCAGAAGACATAGAGATTTGCTTTATTCTTTTACTTACAGAAAGATTTATGAAATACAGCAGAAAGATGGATTCAACCACAAGACAGATAGCTGGTTTCCAAACCCTAAAAAATTTCTGAGGTGTTCAAAGCAAAAGGTTTTGTTCAGTCAGTTACAGAAATAAGGGCCAGCCATGAAATTTAGATCTTCAGTTAGATTTGGAAACACTCGCTTCCCACTAAATTTTGGGCGTTCTGATCTGCGTTTAGATCCATATCTGTGACAAAGGCTACATTAATTTAATATGTTATAACAAGAAAAATTCATTCTTGCCACAGACATTAAAAAAATAAAATTCAAAGATGAATCATTCTTCAAAGGAAACAAGGGCCCCATCTGCTGATGTTTAAAATGTACTACATTAACACACGCACCACAGTGTTACCACAGATAAGAACGTATTGAAATGAAACGCAAAGACAAATCACTACATTAACTGTGCTGCATTATTCTGGCATTTCTTTCATAGGTAACAAAAGTTTTTGCAGCCCCTTGGGTTAACCAATTTCCACTGATGATGAGAGCTTTGCTTATGAAAAAACTAGGAGGCTAGAAAGGAAGGGAATTTAGGCAGGAACACACAGCAATAAAAGAATACAGCCAGGCCTGTACATAGCAAAAAAAATAATAATAATTATGTCTACACAAACAGGGAGCAGCTATAGAAAATAATAAATCATTGCTATTTAAATCTCACCCAATGTGCTCAGATTAGGAATAATTAAAATGTCCAAACACACAAGTAGGACTTTAAGAACAACAATGAAAGCAGGCATCTGGGAAATGTAAAAGTCAAACTTTTCTAAAGATTAAAAAATCTTGTTGAATAATCTAATGGTTGTTTATTGAGAGTTCTTAAAACTAAGTGCTGTTTTGTTTACTGAAATCCCCCACACGGCAAGCTTTATATTATGGCAAAAAAACCGTCAGCTTAATGAAGACAAACCAAATGTGTTTATCATGGACAAGAATATTTCAAACACTGTACCAATAAAAAGCCAGCAGCTGAATTTACAATTATCTTGTATGGCTGTACTCTGAAATAAAAAAAGAGTGTTTTGGAAGCAGTAAAATACTTTTGTTCTGCGTGGCTACAACGTACAAAAGGTTTGTCCTGATATACCTGGATGAGGCATATGCCTGATCTCTCTTCCCAAACCTAGCAGCATGGGAAATGAACCTCTGATTAATGCTGAAGAAATCATTAAAGGATAAAATAAAAAATAAAATAAAATAAATAAATAAAATAAATAAATAAAATAAAATAAAATAACACCAACTTGTTTATTTTCTTCTCTCTTGAACTAGAACAACAGCCAAAGCAAGCCAAGTGTTACTTGCATGAACTGTCCTATGCCCAGACCTGTAACTCTGCCATGGCAAACTCTGCAGTCTGCTTTATCCTAGCTCAATGAGCTTCTGTGCCATAGAACCTGTTTTCAGGTATGGTGCTGAAGGTTGTCACCGAGTCAGACAATCGGTGCTACAGAACAAAATCCCATGAATCACTGATGTTCTTACGAAGTAAGAAATCCATGGTATATTTCCGCTAAATATTCTAACATTGTCAGAGCATACATGTAATTCACAAAATTCTTAGTCTTCACTACCAAAACCTTATGAAACTTGAAATGATTATCAACTGGGCAGAGGTCAGAAGGCAACATGCAAAACTTGTCACTGCATGGATAAAAACAGTAATTAGAAATTCAGTGCTAGTGAATTCTTCAGTGAACATTAATGTAATCCACATGATGAACAGTGCTGGCCCCACTTTTGCCTGAATAAATTAAAATTCAGAGCAGTCTGAATAAAGTTCCCAGCCATGCTACCAAAGTTCAAGGCATAAAACAAAAATATAAATAAAACTTCATAGTGTAATTGGATCTATGTGGTTCTCTGGCATTTTCTGATAACTGCATCTGTTCCTTCTATCAGCTTTTTTTATTACAAACCCTATGCAGTCATGTCCACAATCTGATCATTAAAGTGTACTTTAGGTGGAAATATGTTAAATGAGTCATCTGTACAGAGGAGTAGCTAGACAACCTCGCCTATCTCAGAACAATAGAGCATGAGACTAAGGGCCACAAAATTTACCATTTATTTTAGCACTAGCATTCCAGGTTGTATTTATGCATGTGTGGTTTTTTGTTGTTGTTGTTATTTTTTGTTTTATAAAGTGTGCCTTTTGGGGCATGTTATTTGGTTGATCATTATCACACATAAAGGAGGAAAACAATTAAAAGCTGTCAGAAATCATCTTGTTCGAAAAAGTGCCTGGGAAAAACACAAGCCCTCTCCTTCTCAATTGCAGATAACACCAAGTAACTTTGCTATCCCCCCTCATTAGAACACACATCAATCTCCAGAGTGATAATATACGTTGGGAAAAGTAATTATATCTGCATCAGTTACGAGCGTGTTAGCAACAAAGCCACTGCAACTGAATGTTGTGAAAGGTGAATCTACTGCTTTCGGTGAAGCTACACATTGCACAGTGAGCTGCCCCAACTGGTTACTGCTGCTGATATAGGAAGAGCTCAGCTCTGCCATCTGCTCACAACTCAGTGCTCCCCGCCGTCCATGCACTCCTGTCTCCTGCCTCTGGCTCTCACCCGGCCTGAGCTGTTTTAGCTAGGCAAAACAGTGAAATGTGATGCAGCAAACCAAGAGGATAGGATCTGCCTACAGAACCGAGTCCAGCAAAGACTTTGACGGGCGCCAGAGTCTGTGCAAGGAGGGGGCAGGCCGTCAGTGCTGGGAGGAGGCCTGAGGAGGTGAAGGAAACAAGGGAACATGTCCCCTTTTGGCAGTGTCAGCACAGCTGAGGCAGTAACTTGATCCTGAATTTATCATCTGTGCTGCTGCATTTCTGCAGCATTCAGAAAGCAAGGTGATTTCGAATAGTGTGCACCCTGCCCCATCGACACAATTGTCACTGCTTCACAGGTGTGCCAGTGTTTCGCTTTGGGGTTTCTGTCTACCTGGGGATTCAGCAGTATCTCATCACACAGCAGATGAAGAATAAAATTAGCTAGGAATGATAACATTTGGTATTTACTCAAACCGCTGTCTCACAATCTAAATAACTATAAAAAAGCAACAATTTGGGATCACACTTCCATAAATGCTTTACCAGACACAGCTCAAAGTAGGCTCAAAGGAGGTACATGCTCTACCTAACACGTGTTTCAGTCTCATTGACTTCTACGGCATGAAACATATAACAAAGACCCATTTGAAATCAACAGTGTTAGGACCTAGTTACCTTCCAAGTACCACAGAAGAATCAACAACTCAAGTGGCTGGCTATTTCAATGCTTTTCTTGAGCAAACAGCAATATATATCACATTACACACATACAGCTGCCTTGTAAATCTCAGCTACTTCCATTGGGATCACGCATTTCCAAAAGCAAGTAGTTACTCACCATCCCAATAAGCAGTGCCCCCCATCCCCTTTATTGCCTCAGAAGACATCTTTTTAA